ACACACACACACACACACACACACACACACACACATAAATACATATAACCTCGAAGGATGAGAGCACAGGATGGGAATTGATCTTCCGAATGCTGTTTATACTTCATGGAAAAAAAAAAGTGAGAAGCATGCAAACAACATTTTAAAATAAATTGGAAGTGAGAAGAGAGCGAACGCTGATGAAAATTTGTTTTTCATCTTCACAAATTTATTGAAATTGAATAGCACGCAACATGTCGAATGCAAATGAATGAGTGATAAGAGTTGAAGATAAAAATTTTCACTGCCTTATTGTGTTCAATTTAAACTTTCATTTGTATGTCATTTGGATTATTCTGCTATATTAGCTTCTTTTTTTAAGCTAATGTTTTCCAGCTATCGGATAAACAGATATTATTGTTGTCGTATATAATGTTTGAGTAGAAATAATAAGTTATAATTTTTTAATTTTTGAAAAATGAAATATTCTTTTCTTAATATCAACCTCGAAGAAATTGATAAAAATAAACTTGTAAAAAATTTTTCTGCTTAATTTGTTAATTATAGGTGCATTTGATATGAATTTTGAAATTGATTATAATATATATTTGAAAGTGATTATATATGTATCTCAACTGGAATTAATTAAAATTGGATTAGATAATTTGTTGACAGCTTGAATCATCAAAATGCATTATTTTAATTCAGATCAAAATTATTTTGAAAATTTTGAAATCAAAATTAGAAATTTTGCTACAGATTTTTAAAATTGTTTTCAAAAATGTTATTTTTTTTTAAAAAAAAAAAAGGAAACACAGAGGTTTGAAGGATGAATGTGCTTGAACTATCACTTCGTTGCATTTTTTTTTTTAATTTTAGCTAAAAGTTGATGTTGATTCATTAGCGCAAAAATAACAGAAATTTTAAATTTCAGATAATACTAATATTTTTATACCAAAGTGTGCTGCTCTCGTGCATGCATAAATTTTGGCAACAATCCTTCTTGGCCTTAGATTATTTAAGTAATTAAAATTAAATTATCCAAGAATAAACTGTTGTAATTGTATATTCGTGTGAAAGGTAAATTAAAGTTATATCAATTTTCCTGCTGGATTACTATATGTTGCACCTATGAAATGATTGATTTTGTTCCAAATAAGTCATACTTTTCCCTTTTAGCTAAGTTTACTTTCGAGTTCACATTTTTTTTTACCGACATTCTGTCATAAAAGTACAAAATTTTCCTTCAAATTCATTTTTTGAGTTTGAAGTTTTTTCGGTACTGACAGCTGTACTTTTCTAATATAATTTAAAATGATTTGAAACAGAAATAATGCGAAATTCTCAAAAATAGAGAGAATAAAAAATCAGGAGAAGAACGTTCAAGATAATGACTTCTCTCCACCAACTGCTATAAAAAAATTATTCAAAATAATGATTCCTCGCTGTAATCACTATAAAGAAGCATTCACGACAATGGTTCCTCTCCTAATCATTATAAAAAACACCGTTCAAAAGAATGATTTCTCTCCGCTAATCATTATAAAGAATCACGATTCCACTTCGCTAGTCACTGTAAAAAACTACTCAGGATAGCGATTTTCCTCCGCTAATCATTATAAAGAATCACTATTCTCTCTGATAATCACTATAAAGAATTATTCATAGCAATGGTTCCTCTTCTAATCATCATGAAACACCGTTAAAAATAACACGATTCCTCTTCGCCAATAACTAAAAAGAATCATTTAAGATAGCGATTCCTCTTCCCCAATCATTATAAAGAATCACGATTCCTCTCCACTAATTACTTTAATGAACCGTTCAAGAAAACGATTCCTTTTCGTTAATTTATCAAAGGATTTTTCCCTTCTTTTTTTTTCAGATCAAAGAATAAGCAATATTAACAGGGAACAAACCTGGCTTTAATACATATCACAACTAAAAGTGCACCTTCGAACTTTAGAACTTAAAAAATGTTTAATGTGAAAGATTCATAAAAGGCGCTTATGTGAGAATGAGAGTATATGAGGCAGAAGGACATCAACCAAAAAACGAAATTAAACTCTACAAAATTTTAATTTCGATTTCTCGCCTTCAATTCACTCTCACACAAACAAATACAAATTTTTACTTCCCTCTTCTTCGGAATCAATAATTAGCATGGGAATTAATACGACGTTAATTATCAGTATTAGAAGAGATTTCTCGAAAAGGCATATTTTAGATATTATTAAACGGAAACTATTAATAAGGTATCTCACCGAAATTGTGGACTATTTGGAATAATTCATTTTAAAACAATTAGAATTGTTTTTTTTTAGAAAAAAAATGAAAAATTAGCATACGAATTACTATAACGTTAATTATCAAACTAATTGTATTGTTTTACTATGAAATCACTATTTTGTTTTGTAAAAATGTGAACATAATTGTCATCTTCAGATCATTAAATGCAATTTTTTAAATTACTAATAAAAGCACTTAAAAATACTTTGGTTATCAAGCTAGTTGTGATAAACATCGGAAAAAGGATTTTTTTTTAATTTGTTGTTTAATGAATGATTGGTTTATCATTTCATTTCGGGAAATTAACAAGCCGAGCATCATCTGTATTTGATAGCGGCTTATTCAGACCCACTAATTATTAGCTTAAATTAAAAAAACCTAATAGAATGGAGCAAAATTAAAAAAGCATAGTTCTAAAGTTGCATAAAACATAAAAGGATTTAGGACAATTTTTTTTTTAAATTTTAAATGTCTATGATATCATATCTTGGCCTAACGTGGTACAATAGTTTCTAGCATTGGATGTAAAAAAAGAGGTCAAAAGAATTTTTTTTTTTCAAAAAAAAGTACATTTTTTAAACTTATATTTGCTAAAATGCATAAGTGCAGTTCGTTGAATTAATGCCTGACTAAAATGATTTTCATCAAATTTGTTGACATCTTTCAACGGGTAAAAGTTTTAAAAGTTATTCATATTTAAACATTTGAAAAAAAAAGAGCTAATCAGACTTTGAAAGAAATTTAGGAGAAAATTTAAAAAAAAAAAGAAATTAATAAATTGTTGATTGTATGAACGACGATGCATTGTAATATTAAATTATGCGATATGAAAAAGATATCAAATAAATGACATTTTTTTTTTCTTTTTGATAAACAATATTTTGAGTAGTGATCGATAAGATGAATGGGGTAAAACAAAACTTTTAATTAAGCAACTATTTTATAAATAAGTTAAAATTTGAAAATTTCAGAATTTGCTAAAGTATTAACAATTCAAAATATTACAATCAGAGTGCTTTATTTCTAAATAAATTTATTTAAGAAAATTCTGAATGCATTGATTAGCTAAAATTTATGAATTTGAGTTTACTTTTTTTCCTTTTTTACGTATTGTCCTAAAGGTGAAATGAAACTTTTGAGGAATAATTTTAAAAATCTTTTTTCATTCGTTTGAAAGAGTGCAATAATACGTACGTAAGATTGTTCAGATCATTTG